ACTTAAAGCAAAAAACCAGAAATGTTATTGTTGAGAGTGTTATAGATGTACCTCTTTTGTCCTCCCTTTCCCCCTCTCCCTGCCCAGCTCATTGCCCCCTTCCACCTGGTTCCCAGGCCTTCACCATCCTATTGTCCGTGTCCATAGGTAATGCATATCTGCTTATATTTGAATAATCTCTTCCTGCCCCCCCCACCCTTCTTTATGAGATTCCTCAGTCTGTTCCATGTTTCCATGCCTCTGAATTTATTTTAGTTATCAGTTAATTTTGTTCCTTAATTTCTTGTTCATTTATTTTGATTTTTAGATTCAATTGTTGATAGATATGTATTTATTGCCATTTTATTATTTATTTAAAAAATATTTTTAATGATTTCAGAGTGGGAGGGAGAGGAAGAGAGATAGAAACATCAATGATGAGAGAGAATCATTGATTGGCTGCCTCCTGCATGCCCAACACTGGGATTGAGCCCGCAACCCAATATATGCCCTGACCAGGAATTGAATGGCCATTTCCTGGTTTCTAAGTCAACACTCAATTGCTGAATTGGAAGGGCTTGTTCATATTTTTTATCTTCTTCTTAAAGAATATCCTTCAACATTTCATGTAATACTGGTTTGGTGGTGAGGAACTCCTTTAGCTTTTTCTTGTCTGTGAAGCTCTTTATCTGACCTTCAATTCTAAATGATAGCTTTGTTAGGTAAACTTGGTTGTAGGTCCTTGCTATTCATCACTTTGAATATTTCTTACCACTCTTCTTGCCCACAACATTTCTGTTGAGAAATCAGCTGACAGTCATATGGGCACTCCCTCATAGATAACTGCTTTTCTCTTGCTTTTAAGATTCTCATTAAGATCCTTGAGTAACCTCTTAACCATTGTTTTGAACTCTGTTTCCATTTCTTTCATTTGTGACATATGTCTTTGTCTCTGCATTTTGGTTGCTTCCCTGTGTTTGTTTCTATGAATTAGGTAGAGCTGCTATGTCTCCTTGGTAGAATGGTTTTGTGTAATTGGTGTCCTGTAGGGCCCAGTGGCTCAGCCTCCCCAGTCACCTGAATTGGGCACTCTATGTGGGCTGTGTGCAAAGTCTTGTTGTTGAGCCTTGATTGCTGTTGACATCACTAGTAGGAGTTGACCTGCAGGCCAATTGGCTATGAGGACCAGGTATGATTATAGTAGAAGTTGCTGTGCAGGATACACTCCTATGGAGCAGGATTTGCTTCAGTGGGCTTTGGTGCTCACTGAGACTGGCCCTTGAATGTATCACTTGTGGATATGTAGAGTTGTAATTGGTATGGTCTGAAGCTGTCCACTGGGTGCACTGGTTCTGGGGTCTCCTGGAAAGTGCAAAGTCAGCCACTGCTTGGGGCCCCCTGGCAGGAGCTACAGAGAGATCTGCAGAAGGCTGCTAATTGTATTGAGCTTGGACGTGCCCAGGTGATACCCAGCTGTGAAGCAAGACCGGCTGGTGCTAGTGCCAGGTCTTAGGCCTTTTATTATAAGTGTGGGGCATGCTGACACTAGGTACTGCTTGTTTGAGAGATTTTAATAGTCTGACGCTTGAGCCAGGCAGGTCATTCATATAGAAAAGCCACAGCAAACAGCTTGAGTGGGACTGCAAATTGGATGGGACAGGGTCTCAGGGGATCACCAGGGCAGAGCAAACAGTGTGGGCTAGGCTGATGGAAATTCAGATATGGCTGCCAGTCAACTCTGTGATGGGGGAGGTCCCAGCAAGGAATAATAAACCCTGGCAGCACCTTCATCTGGGAAAACACTTCCCTCAAGTTCCTACCTGTATGCCAGACAATCCAGTTTCTCACCGTATGTCCCTGGATTCCCCCCAGCCATTGCATAGAGGAAGTGGGACTGTGTAAGTTCCTGCACCAGCCCTTTAAGAGGAACTATGTGGGACACCGGCAGCCTCTGTGTCATTCAGGCACAACCCCTGCTGGTTTTTACAGCCCAAAGTTACAGGGGACTTCTCTTTCCAGCTCTGGAACCCTGAGCTAAAGGTCTGGTGTGGGCCTGGGACCCCTTGCTTCTCACAGGAGGCCTCTGCAACAGAGATATCCTTCCCAATTAAAATAATAATAATAATAATAATAATAATAATAATAATAATAATGGCCCATGTGGGTTTAGAACAGCCTGCTCTGCACTTCCGTCCCTCCTACAAGTCTTTCTGTAGTTTCTTCTTTACTTCTCTAGTTGTAGGACTTCCATTCAGCTAGATTTCAGGTGGTTCTGAATGGTTGTTCTGTATTTTAGCTGTAATTTTCATGTGGTTGTGAAAGGCAGCATTTACCTGCACTACCATCTTGGTTCTCCTCTGTTTCCTATTGATGTTTTAGATCCTTGTTCCAGTCCTTCATGGATCGAGTTTGCTTCAATCTGACAGAGATTTGTGGTCCCCACGAGTCCACAGAGAATGAACAAATAAATGGTATATACAGAATAAAATAGTAACATTTGGTAATAAAATTAACACAGGGAATACCCTCTGAGCCTCTTGTATCCCCACTGGGTTGGGGTTACATACCATAGCTATTTCTAAAAGTCAGTCCTTTTGGAGCTAGGTTTTGTGAGGAGACAAATGTAAATTTCCAGGTATGGTATAATGAGATTATGTGGGCAGAGGAAGGAGGGACCAATTCTGCCTTGTCAGGCTATGGAAGACATTGAATAAGTGATGTGTGGCTAAAGTAAGAGTGTGCTGGGCAAGAATGAGGAAGGGCAGTTGGGGCAGAAGGGAATGGGGGGACAAGGCCTTAGGAAACACTGGGTACTCCACAAATGCTTGTTAAATTGAATACATGGCAAACAGACAGGTAGGCAAGCAGTTTGTAAGATGACAAGCACCTTTTATATTAAAGTACCCTTTTTATTTAGGGTTTCCCTTTCAATATAGAAAATTAAGATGTCAATAGTCTACTTAATCTCAGTTTGTTAAACTCATAGGCTGTGAGTCTTCCACAAATGTGGCAATTTTATGTCAGTTTAAGTGAAGATTTCAGGGCAGTATGAGTTTAGTGAGCGAGCGCTAGGTGTGCGGTATGGCTTCATCCACACTTGTGACAAATATTTATTGAAGGTTTGTGAAAATTCACAAAGTTGAAACTAAACATTTATCCCAAATAAACCAGCACTCACATTTGGGGGGTGGTTCAGAATTAAATAGTTTTACTTTTCACAATCATTTGTCTTCATCATCAATAGCATCTTTAGGAAGAGGCTAAATGTGATCCTTGCTCTTTAGATGCCAAAAGAAGCCACATCAACGTTAACAAGTCCACAGAATATGCACTAACAGAACATGTGGTAATAAAATCGATCTGGTGACCCCACAGGGTCGGGGTACACAGCAGCTATTTCTAAAAGCCAGCAAACCTTCCTTCCTGGAAGTATCAGGGACTTAGAAGTTCACCCATCAGGACCTCAGCTGTGGGTCAACTCTCCAGGAAGTCTGGTGCAAGTTTCCTCCAGGTGGAAATGAGTCACCAACAATCGCCTTCGGATTACGTTTGGCTGGAGCTCAGAGTGAGTTCGGAACACAAAACACGCAGAGAGCAACAGGACTCATTTTGTAGTGGTTCAAACTTCTTTGGTCACTCATCAATTTCCATCACTGACATGAATGATGCAGCTCCTCTTCAAAATCCGAACATGTCCACTCCAAGAGGAAAACAGATCCTCCTAGCCTAGGCTTAGAGAATGGACTTATGTCTCTGAGGCTAGGGGGCCCTCGAGGGCATGGGCCCTGACCTGGACGCGACTCTCCGGCCCCGCCCTCGTTGGGACGGAGGAGAGGAGGGACACTTCCTTAAGTTCATCACTGCCAAGAGGAGGCCAGTTCCTCGAGTGGAACTGGAAGGGTGGGTCGGATGTGGGGGGGACTGGGAAGAGAGATTTCCAGGGCGCTGGAACTTTGCGCAGAAAACCCCCCGGGCATGGCCCAGGGCCGGGAGCAGCCAATCCTGGGACCTCTCCGGCGGCTGAAGACCCGGCCATCCCGGGAAGACCGAGGCCCACTTCCGGGTTTGGAAGCGCTGCCTCCCGGCCCCTCCCCGCACCCAGTTACGGGGTCTCCGGGCGCATGCGCAGCGCTCGGCCGCCGCTCGGGGACCGGCCCAACTTACCCTAAACAACCACGCCGCTCCCCTCCCTCCCGTTTGGGGCATACCATTCCCGTGTGTGGGGGGCAACGCGCCCCCAAGCAATCAGGGGTCGGCTGCCCTTTTTCAGACGTAGGGATGGGGGAAGGTAAGTTTGCCTCAGATTTTAAAAAAGTCCCCAAAATAAGAAAGCCTTAGGCCCGTCGCCCAGTGAAAGCCTCCCAGCCCCAAGCGCTTCCTTTGAGGAGCTGAACAAAGTGGCACGCCCGGCTCCCAGCTGATCAGCTGCTGGGCTTTGGCGGCGGCTCTCCCGGGCGAGACCATTGTGACTTCTTGGGAGGGGTGCGCGCGTGAGGGAGGGCGGGGGAGGGGCGGCCATTGTCCGGTCAGCGCAGCCTCCGGGGGAGGGGAGGGCGAGCGGGACCTGGAGCTTCACTGAGGCCGCTGCTACGCCGGAGCCGGCGGGGGCCTCGGGTCCTTCCCAGCGCGGCCACACAGGACATCGCTGTGGCTGGGAGCGGCGGTGGGAGCTGCCGAGGGCGCCGGGCTTCCCCTCCGGCCCCTCTCCCCGCGGGGCCCCGGCTCGCCCGCACGCCCCTCCTCCTCGACTCCCCTCCCACTCCGCTGCGCGCCTCCCCGAGCTCCCCCCACCCCCCGGCCCCGCAGGCCCAGTGGTGCGGCCCGCCTCCAGCTGACCGGCCTGGAATCCCGGCTCGGAGCCCCGGACTCGCGCCCGCCCGCGCGCCCGCTCCCTCCCCCTCCCCCCGCCCCGAGCCCCCCACAGTCGCCGCCGCCGCCGCCGCCTCCTCCGAGCGGGGCCCAGGCCCAGCCGCCGCCACCGCTGCCGCCGCCGAGCTCCGCCGCCGCCGCCGCCGAGCACCATGGGAGACGCCGGGAGCGAGCGCAGCAAAGCGCCCAGCCTGCCGCCCCGCTGCCCCTGCGGCTTCTGGGGGTGAGTACCCGGCCGGCGGGGCGGGGCGGGGGCCGGGGCGCGGGCGCGGGGGGCCTCCCGGGCCGGCCTGGGTCGGGGAGGCCCGAGCCCTGGGGGCTGGGCTCCGGCCTGGCCTACGGGGAGGGGGCAGGGCCGAGGCCGGGGAGGGGTGCCGGGTGGGGCTGGGGCTGGGGGTGGGCCCGGGCCCCCGAGTGCGCTGCCACCCTCCGTGATTCTCCTGCCCGAGGCCGGGGCCGACCGGGAAGGCCCAGGCCCCGGGTGAGGGGGGCAGGGCAGCGGGCAGGGGTGTGGGGGCGGCTGGGTGCCCCCTTTCCTGGGCATGTGGAGCTAGCCCTTGTCCCCCCTCTCTTTTCTTCCCTCCCCTTGGTGTGAGTTTGTGCCCAGGCTCCAGGAGGGTATTTCCTCTGACTTTTTCACCTCCCCTCCTCCTTGTGCCCCAGAGACTTGCATCATCACTTCCTAAATTATATCCCAGTGCCCCATTTGCTTTTAGGAAGCTGTTCACACGTCACCTATTTGTAAAGATCAGAATCCAGGCTGAGGTGAAGTTTTAAGACAGTTGAGGCCTCACCTTTATGTAAAATACATTTCAGAAGGTCTATAAAACTTCCTTGCCAAAAAGAAAACAAAACAAAACACAAAAACACCCCCAAAACAATCTCAAGTCAGCCTGGCTTGGGAACTTGAGGGCCAATTGGTTCAAATTCCTTTTTCTCCCCATTAAACAAACAAACAAACAATCAAAAAACCCCAATAAAAATATTCACATTGGCCAGTCAATATTATTAGTGGTCATTCTGTTTTAGTGTTGAAAAATGTGAAAAATGTTTAAGCTGAGCCCTTGAGTTTGAGAGCTTGCCACGTTTCTTACCTAACAGGTGCCTCGGTGGTACCTGAGGACTCTGGTTCTGCTCTAAGGAAACGGAGACTCCAAAGGCCAACTTTTGTGATTGAGACCTTTTTTGTTTTTTATTTCCCCCAAATTCAATATATCTGGAGGTGCATAGAGGCAGTAAGGAAAGTATTATTTCTTGGGAGGACATCTTGGGAAGATGTATTTTATCTCTCTGAACCTAGGAATGGTTAAGGTGGAAATGAAGGTAGTGATTTTGGGAGAGCAGAGAAAGATTACGGACTGTATCTTAATGTAGATTTCCGTGAACTTTGTCAAATCCGAGGGTTACGATGAAATAGAGTCTTGTTTTCTCATCTTTCTGCCTTTTATCTAAAGTTTCCCAGTTGGAAGGACATAAGTAAAAAGTAAGTTTGTGACATTACCAAAGGTTCTGAAGATGTGAAAACATTTTAGGTTTTATAGTCTTTTTTGGTTTGAAAATAATAATTGGATTATTTGCTAAGGGCTGTCTTGGATAGTCTAACTCCTTCAAGGACCTTAGAAAATCCTATCTATTTATTTATATAGATGAGGAAGGAGGCTTAAAGAGAAGAGGGTGGGTAACTTGCCCCTTGCATACAGGGAGTTCAGTGTTGAGCTGGTGAACTCTTTAGAGTGCTTAGTACCATCCTGTTTATGACATCAGTCTGCAGCCCTGGAAAACTCTGGTGTCACAAGCCTCAGATTGTAACTCATTATAAGGAGACATGTGGCTCGAAGGAGTTGCCAATGGCAATGAATGCCCAGTATATATCAAAGTTCTATTTCCTGGCAACATGTTTTTATGTTCTTGGGGCCATTGTCATGAGTGGAACCCTTATTGAAAGACTTATATCAAGACTTAAAAATTAAAGAATTTTCCCCTTTTTTCCCCTTTAGATTGCAGAATTCTTTGCTAATGCCAAGAGTTTGGTAGTAGCAAAGTGGGATAGTTAGGCTGATGCCATACTTGCCTTATATAAGCAATCAGGACTTCTTTCTTGATACTTTCAGTCTGAAATGTTGAACTGCAATTTACCTAACGGGAGTAGTGACCACAAAAACTAACATTTTTATGATGAAAAGTGCTCTTCTTAATATGTAATGTTTTAACCTTTCCTAAAGGTGTTTGTAGGCATCAATGTAGTTTGCATTTTATACCAAAGTATAATGAAATTACTGCCTAGTATCCATCATATCTTAACTGACTGAACTTGTTTTCTTTATTGCATGATGACATATTATGTTCACTAAACTCAGAATATATTAAAAATTTTTTTATTGTTTAAAGTTTTACATGTCTCCTTTTTTTCTCGATTGTCAAAACTTGAGTGCCTTTGATATAGGGGACCAAGGGGCACTGGCCCCATTCTTTGGAGCGGGGAGCATAGAAAAGTAGTGACAGTTACAGTACAATGTGGGCGGTAGAGGAAGGTAGCCTGGAGGAGGTGACACCAGCTTAGTCCTGTAGGAAAGGATGGAAGTAGAAGAGTGTTTCAGGCAGGGGGAATAGCATTGGTGAAGGCCTGGACGTGGGAGAGCGCTACACATTTGAGGAACTGGAAGTTCATTGGGGTCGTTTGGTAGAAGATGAGGCTTAGTTGGTGAGAGCAGTTGATAATGCAGGGCTTCAAAGACAATGCTTATGACTTTGGACTTTCATCCTGATGCTTTTATCCTTAGGACAAAACATTGCAGAATATTGAACGGGTAGTGATATGATTTCCTTTAATGTGAAAAATTATTGGATCAACTTGAAAGTCACCTGGGTGTGTGGCTATGGTTTGTGAGTCTGTATGAATATGATGTATTATGTATATTCGTGGGGTGTTGCCAGACTAACAAAAGACTTATCAGGAGGAGTAATACAGGGCAGTGATGTTGGTGGCCTGTACTGGTTTAGTGGCCAGGAGGAGGGAGAGAAATAGGTATGAAAGCTGTTCAGGAGGTATCTCTTGCCTTTTCCTTTCACAAAAATGACGGTGTGTCTAAAAACTTCAGTCAGCATTGCACTCTGGGAGCTGTAGGTCTGTAAAGTCAGCTAGCCAGAGCCCACACCCAGTGCTTTGCAGAGAAGCCTCACAGCAGAATGTTCTGGCACCAACAAACTAAAGGCATTTCCTTTAGGATTGCTTTTTTTCTCCAATGCCTTAGGCTGCAGGACTTACTGTCCAGCATTGTCCAGCCGGGACACCAATCAGTGGGGCTCGGTTAAATAGAGCTTTGGGGTCTTTCTGTGGGAACACAATTAGAAAGGAGAATGCCAACAGGGCATATGATGCAAATGTGTTAGTGTTTAGAACACAAAGTTTCTAGTTCTCTCCCTCTTGGTTTATATTGTGTAAGTAGTGACCACAAACATATGTAGGGTAAATGCACGTAATTTTTGAACCATTTTATAGAGAGGCCATCTTTCCATTGGAAAACTTTGCTATCTTGTTGAAAATGTACCTGTTTATAAAATTTGGAAGTTGTGCCGAAACCGGTTTGGCTCAGTGGATAGAGTGTTGGCCTGTGGACTTAAGGGTCCCAGGTTTGATTCCCGTCAAGGGCATGTACCTTGATTGTGGGCACATCCCCAGTGGGGAGTGTGCAGGAGCGGCTGGTCAATGATTCTCATGGATGTTTCTAACTCTCTGATCCTCTCTCTTTCTCTCTGTAAAAAATCAATAAAATATATTAAAAAAAACAACAACAAAATTTGGAGGTTGTTTGAATAATGCAATGTTTTTAGGGTTAATGATCATAAACACACCCCCTTCCCCCCCAGAGACTTAAAACTTGGTGAAATATGAACATTTTCTTATGTATTTTAGGTAATCAGTACTTATGTAAAATACATAACAATTTATAATGCCAAATATGGAATGACATAGTTAATTAGTACTTTTTCTTTAATTGAAATATACACATATAGAAAAACACTTTTAAACTATACAGAAATAAGTGATATTAGTTGAAGGTACTTTTCAAATTGTTTAGATGTTTAAAATGTATTGAGACACGTGACTTTTTCAGATATTTTCAAAAGTTGTTGATAGAGCAGATTTAGAATATTGTAAAAAAGACAGGAAGAAGATTAAGACAAAAAGAATATACTGAGTGTATTATAGGATAATTGATAGAATGTTTAGGTAGGTTGAGGAAAGATGGATTTTTTTCTCTCATTCTTAATGTTTATAAAAATCACTATTATTAATACTTTGCTTTTCATTTGGAGACAATCTATCACAATGTAATTTTATGAAAACTTTGGAAAATACTATTCTGTAAATAAGTTTTTAGACAAATGTTCAGTCTGGTATTAGGGAGTAATGGAGTATTTAAATATGAAATTTATTGGATAAACTGTTAATTGTTTTGATAAAAAAAAGAAGCCTTCTAATGAATCATTTCATAAAAAATATTAGGCCAATATATATTTTTTAGGGAAATACATTTTATTGGTATTTCACCTTTGTGATCTATTCTGTTGAAGCATTGTACTTAACTAGATCTGTTAGATAATTGATATATTTTAATTGATTATGTATGTATGTATGTATTTATTTATTTATAAAATGGAGCACTGCTTTCTTTTTTGTTTCATTTTCCCCATCACCATTTATCCACTCTATGCCCTCTTTCACCTCCACCCACCCTGTCCCCCCCAATCACCACAGTGTTGTCCATGAGTTCTTTTATTTATTTAAAAAAATATTTTTATTGATTTCATAGAGGAAGGGAGAGAGACAGAAATACCAACAATGAGAGAAAACCACTGACCTGCTGCTTCCTGCACCCCCCACTGGGGACTGAGCCAGCAAACCCAGTCATGGGTCCTTGACTGGAATTGAACCTGGGACCCTTCAGTCTGCAGGCTGGTGCTCTATCCACTGATACAAACGGCTTTTTCGCTCAATCCTTCTACCCCCCAACCTCACCAAGAGCTGTCTGCCTGTTCTTTTATCTATGAGTCTGTTTCTAGATAATAGATGTATTTCAAATAAAGATAGGGTTATGTAGAGATCAATAGTTTTCTCACACAAATAAATTCTGTTCCTGAAATGGTTACTAGTAGAAAGTTGATTGAACATATACTTAGTTTATTCCATTTTACTTTTGAGAATCACAAGATAATTGAGTT